GCTCTCCAGCAGGCCCCTGGGCCACCACCTCCTTGTGGCAGATTGCCCCAGGTTTGTTTTCTTTGGCTCCCTCATTAATGAGTTCCACAGGAGAATGCTAAGTCTAGTGAGGCAGCCTTAATTGGTTTAGTTACAACAAGATAATTCCTTTTTTCTTCTCTCCGGAGGCCTTTCTGTTTAAAGACATTTTAGCTGGAAGATGCTAATTATCAATGAGGAGAAAGTGACACCTGAAGAGTTCATCTTCCATCTCGATCCCTGATTTCTCCTTTGAACTCCCTCTCCAAGGCCCTCTTTCCCACTTCATCACTTCTCCCCCACCATCATAAAAGAGGGCTCTGCCCTGGCCCGGAGGCAGAACTTTCTCACCGGCCAGGGAGCTGTGCTCTCTGCAGCTGTCTCGCAGGCATGGACAACCTGCGCGAGACCTTCCTCAGCCTCGAAGATGGCTTGGGCTCCTCCGATGGCCCTGGCCTACTGTCCTCCTGGGACTGGAAAACCAGGGCAGGGCCCTTTGAGCTGAGCCAGGCCTCGCCCGCTCAGAGCATCTCTCCGGCCCCATCTCTGGAGTCGTACACTTCTTCTCCTTGTCCAGCTGTGGCCGGACTGCCCTGTGGGCATGGAGGTGCCAGCAGTGGGGGCAGTGATGGCTGCAGCGGCCGCGGGACCAGTGGCCTGGTGGAGGTGGACTACAATATGTTAGCTTTCCAGCCTGCCTACCTGCAGGCCACTGGTGGCCCCAAGCCCCAGAAGGGCACCAAAGTCAGGATGTCTGTGCAGCGGAGGCGGAAGGCCAGCGAGAGAGAGAAGCTTCGCATGAGGGCCTTGGCAGATGCCCTGCACACCCTCCGGAATTACCTGCCACCCGTCTACAGCCAGAGGGGCCAGCCGCTCACCAAGATCCAGACACTGAAGTACACCATCAAGTACATCGGCGAGCTCACAGACCTCCTCAACAGCGGGAGGGACCCTCGGCCCCAGAGCGCCTGAGCCCCAGGACTCGGAGGCTGGAGACAGGAGCCTTACGGACCTGGACCAGCTCAGGGAACGGCCGCATGTAGCTGTTGGTTTAGTGAGCACCGTGACCTTTTTGTCCGGAAAGTTCTGAGGGAATCCCCAGGGGACTTGCAGCTGCCAGAGCTCTCAGCTGCCAGACAAGCAGGTACTTTCTTCCAGTTTCCCACCGTTTCTCAGGAGTCCGGCCCTTTGGAAACAGACAAACTGCTTTCCCCGCTCTGTCCAATTTGTTGTAAAGGGTCAGCGATTTCAAATGCAGTTTTTCAATAATAATGGTTACAATTAGTCTTCTCTCCTGATTCTGGCGTTGGGAGCTTTCTGTTGCTAACGAAACCTGCATTTTGTACAGGATCCAGTGTGACACCTGGATTCTTTAGAAAGATCTATGTCAAGTAAAGGGCTGCCGCGCTCCTGTTTCGCTCTGTGTGTGTGTGTGTGTGTGTGTGTGTGTGTGTGT